ACCCAGCGGTCACCCAGCCTGGGTGTCTCAGGGCCTTGGCCAGCTGGGGAGAGAGGAGGCAGGCCCTGTGTTTTGGGCAGGGACAGGTAGAGCCAGACTTCTCTCGCCCCTTCTCCTTCCATCTGGCCACAGCCAAGGCTGCAACCTCGGGTTATGTAATGGACCCAAAATGCCTTGCTAGGGAACAGCCCAGCTGGGGCCAGGACCCAGGAGTGCCCAGCCAGCAAATGCTGCCACAGGGCCTGCTCTAGCTTCCCTTCCTCCCTGCCCCCCCTTTCCCCAGGGGGAGGTAGACACGGGGCTGTGCTGTCTGGGAGGGGGAGGGGAGGCCCTCTCCTGGGACATGAATTCTTGGCCTCACCCCAGCTGCTGGCCCGCCCAGCTCTGCTCCAGGGTAACGCTGGGTGCACACACAGCCCCATTGTGTGCCTGGGGCCCTGCACCCGCCATGGGCCTGGCACCAGCTCTGTCAGCAGCAGTGGCTTCATTAGCTTCTCGGCACCCCCGCTGGGACCTGAGTCCTGTCCAACCCCATCCCACCTCAGCCTTAAGGAGGAAAAAGGGGGGCTGGTGACAGGGATGAAAGTCCTGGGTGAGGAGGGCCCATGACCAGGTCGGACACTTGAGAGGCCGTCAGCTGTGAGAGACACAAGCGGAGACTTAGCTCATTCACCAATGAGGCAGCTGAAGTAGCAGGCGGCGGCACTCACTGGGTAGCTGTGGGGAGCCCGGGAGAGGGTTGCAAGGCCTGGTGGGTTCTGGTACCCCTGTGTGCTCTCACAAAGTATGCTGGTACATTTGTCAGGCTGGTGCTCTGGCTGAACAGGCAGGACAGGCCTGCAAAGCAAGAGGGCAGGTTCTGGGTCTTAGTTGCTCTGTTGCACCTGCCCTGTGGCTGTTGGAAGGGACAGTAGAGGTGATGCTTACTCAGGGTCTGGTCAGCTTCTTCTTCTGTAGGTTTCTTTATTGGAATGTCAGAGTTACACACACACACCTTTCATCTGCTGACTCAACCTCAAAGTGGCCACAGGGGCTCTGGCTGGACCAGGCTGAAGCGGGAGCCAGTACCTTCTTCTGGGTCTCCCAAGTGGGTGTAGGAGCCCAAGGACTCGGGTCATTCTCTGCTGCATTTCCAGGCTCATAAGCAGGGAGCTGGATCAGAAGTGGAATAGCCAGGACTTGAACCAGATGAGGGTGCTGCTGGGACCCTTGTGGGACTGGTTCTTCACCTTGCAGGCTGAGCTGACTTGCAGCCCTGACTCCCAGGGCTGTGGAGCTGCAAGCTCCCCTTCCCCATCCTGCTGCTCCCTAGCTCTCTGTCCATGCTGAGCCCTGGGCCTGCCCTCTGCTTCAGCCCGGCCTCAGCCTCTGCAAAGGGGCAGTGACCTACAGGGTGGTGAAATGCTGGGCTGGGCCCAGAGTACAGGCGAGAAGGAAATAGGGAGGTCACTCCTTCATTCCCTGCCCGGGACTCCATCTCTCCCTCCATGCAGCCCGGACTCATCATCCTCTGTGATCACCTTCCTCAGCAACCAGTCCATGCATCTTCATCTCAGGTCACAGAGCAGGCATGTCCAGCCTTACCTGTCTTAACATGGCAAGGTCCAGAGCATCCTGTCTGGGTGCCTCTGTGAAGGCCACACCGGAGATGCCAAGAAAGAGCAAAGCCTGGGCCAGCCCTCAGGGTGCCCACACTGAAAGTTTTGGGAGAAATTGACAGAATGACCTCAGTTTCTCATCTGCAAAATGGACACACTAGTATCTCCTACTTCCCAGACTGAGTGGGAAAGTCAAATGAGTCCATGCGTGAAAAACTGGACACCATTCCTGCCAGGTGGCTAATGAATCGTCTGATTCAGTTTTATGTGCAGGTGTAATAGAGGCAGAAGCAGAGCTCTCTATACTGGGCAGAGCTGCTTTACTCCAAACTAGATTGGAAATACAACAGAGACTATCTTGGTTGATCTTGTGTTCCTGTGTCAGACCAGAGTCAGACTTAGGGTAGATGAGGAGGCTGTTTTCAAGCAGTGATCAGAGGAAGGTAAAGATAGGGCAGGCTCCCCCAGAGGAGGCCCTAAAGTATGGCTTCAGGGGATGAAGAGGAGCTAGACAAGCTGTGGAGGGGAAAGAACTAGAAGGAGCATGTGGAAGCCAGGCCCAGGTTAGGGTGAGGGAGTCAGGAAGTCCCCTGGCTGCCCCCAGGGCTTGTTCATGGGGAGGGAAGACCCCTAATGCCTTGGGGGCCCTGGCAGGGCATTTGAACTTTATCTGGAGGGGCAGGGAGCCCCAGGGGTGGTGGAGCAGGAACATGGTTGGTTCTGTCTCTGTGTCTTATTCCCTCGGGACCACCTTCTCCCTCCATTTCTTCAGTGATGAGTTCTATCCACTCTTCAGCCTCTTCTCTACCATTCTTACTCACCCCACCCTGAAGACCCCCAGCCCTGCCTTGGCTTCCTCTCTGGCCATTCTGGCCTGTTCCCTCTGCCCTGCTGTTATCTGTTTTTCCCTTCCTCTCCTAGTCTCTGGGATAGCAGTTGGGTAGAGTTGGACTTGGGAGGTAGTGTGGTGTCACTGCATAGTGGGAGCTGGCATGATGGTGCCTGGGCCTGCGATGTGACATAGCCCTCTGTAGCCTTCATGGAGTGACCTCCCCACCTCAGTAGTGTGGCTGAAGCTTAGGAAAAAGACCAAAGTTTACATCATCATCCGGATGCAAGGAAACAGGATTTCCAACCAGATAAATTAGGGAGTGAAAGGATCTTGTCTTTTTGTTTATAAGGTTAGTGGAGAGGGATATTGAAACAGATGGGAGACTACAGAAAACCAGTGTCTCTTCTCCCTACAAACATCCATTCGTCTACCCATGTGTGTGTTACATCCATTCATCCATCTATGTACAATCCTATTACATCCATCCACGCAGGAATCCATGCATCCATGTACCCAGCCATTCATTCATCTATGAGTCTATCCATTCACCCCTGTGTGCACACATCCATTCACCCATGCATGCATCTCTCCATCCATCTATCCATGCATCCACCTGTCCATTGTATTCATGCACCTATGCATCCACCAAATACTTGCTCAGCACCTCTGTGGTACTAGGCATTACATGAAATACTTTTCGTTTAACCTTAACAGTCACTCTCCAGAATGGACATCATCCTCATTTACACACTAGGAAGCTGAGACCCTGTGAATTCAAGTAGGTTGATGAACACTGCACATCCAGCTGAGATGCAACTCTTCCTGCTGTTAGTGTGCGAGCAGAAGGCAGCATTTGGTTTTAGCAGTGCCTGGATCTGAGTGTGTCATCAGATGCATGGACATGCAAAGATTTCAGAACACTGAGGTTCTACAGTTCTATCTTTGGAGCATCATCCTGGAGCCAGAGAACATTGCCGGACTTCACGTCATATAGGGATTTGTCACAGCAACCAAATGTTGCTGATATCACCTCCACTGCGGAGGTTTCTTCTCCATGCAGCTTGTCACACTGCCAGTGCTGGTTCCTTTGTCTGTGCTTTATCAACTCTGATTTTGAGAGCACACAGAGGTAAACTTTCAGAGACTCAGCCATATTCTCTTGGGCAGCCACAGTCTGGAACTGGCCCTTCAGAAATAGGGACCATTTCCACAGGTCCACATTTGGCTGCTGTGCCCTAGTTCAACCAGTCTCCTCCAAGGCCTGAATCTTACCAGTCTGCAGTCAGCTTTCCTGCAGGGTAGGTCAGCTTATTAGTGTTATGGTTGTTTGTTTGTTTAACAGATTTGGAAATAGACAGAGGTCTTCCATGCTCTGGTTCACTCCCCAGATGGCTGTAATGGCCAGGGCCAGATCAGTCTAAAGCCCAGGGACAAGGGCTTATTCTGGTCTCCCATATGGATGCAGGGGACGGGGACTTGGGCCATCTTCTGCTATTTTCCCTGGAGCATTAGCAGGAAGCCAGATCAGAAGTAGAGCAGGGCTCTTCGCAGTAGCCTAGCAGCTGAAGTCCTCACCTTGCACACTTTGGGATCCCATATTGGCACTGGTTCTAATCCCAGCAGCCCTGCTTCCCATCCCAGCAGCCCTGATTCCCATCCAGCTCCCTGCTTGTGGCCTGGGAAAGCAGTCGAGGATGGCCCAAAGCCTTGGGACTCTATACCCGCGCGGGAGACCTGGAAGAAGCTCTTGGCTCCTGGCTTCAGATCAGCTCAGCTCCGGCCATTGCGGCTGCTTGGGGAGTGAATCAATGGACGGAAGATCTTCCTCTCTGTTTCTTCTCCTCTTTGTATTTCTGACTTTACAATAAAGTGAGTAAAAATCTTTTTTAAAAAAGTAGAGCAGGGCCTGGCACGGTAGCCTAGGTGCAAGTCCTCGCCTTGCACATGCCAGGATCCCAAATGGGCTCCGATTCTAATCCCAGCAGCCCTGCTTTCCCATCCAGCTCCCTGCTTGTGGCCTGGGAAAGCAGTCGAGGAAAGCCCAAAGCCTTGGGACGCTGCACCTGCTGGGAGACCCGGAAGAAGCTCCTGGCTCCTGGCTTTGTATTGGCGTAGCCCCAGCTGTTGCTGCCGCTTGGGCAGTAAACCATCAGACAGAAAATCTTCCTCTCTGTCTCTCCCCCTCTCTCTGCCTTTCCAATAAAAAAAAATATATTTTTAAAAAAAGAAGTAGAGCAGGGCCCGGCAGTGTGGCCTAGTGGCTAAAGTCCTCACCTTGAACGTGCTGGGATCCCATATGGGCGCCGGTTCTAATCCCGGCAGCTCCACTTCCCATCCAGCTCCCTGCTTGTGGCCTGGGAAAGCAGTTGAGGACGGCCCAAAGCCGTGTGGGAGACCCGGAAGAAGTTCCTGGATCCTGGCTCTGGATCCTAGCTTCGCATCGGCCGTTGTGCTCACTTGGGGAGTGAATCATCGGACAGAAGATCTTCCTCTCTGTCTCTCCTCCTCTCTGTATATCTGACTTTCCAATAAATAAATAAATCTTTAAAAAAAAAAAAAAAGAAGAAGTAGAGCAGCTGGGGCTTGAACTGGCAACCATATGGGATGCTGGCCTTGAAGGAGATGGCTTTACCCACTGGCTGCACCACGTGCCAGCCCCTGGCTTTTTTCCCCTAAACTCTGAAGTTAGTTGTTCATTTTCATACCTCCTTGGAAAGGGTATGGGTTCAAAGACTCGGGGGAGAGTCCCACAGCAGCAGTGCAGGACTTGTGGGATGGAGAAAGGAAGGAAGCTGACAGTGTGGGCCTCTTTGGTTCCATCTCTCTGGGAATCATGGTTATCCAGTGGGGCTGGAGTCTTTGGTTAGGGGTCCTGGGAAAGGAAGGGTGTGGACTCCCTTGGCTCTGGTGTAGGTGTAGGTGGCACTCAGGAGGGCTGGTTCCGGACTGTGGGTGCCCAGGGGAATATGCCTGGGGCCTTGACAGCTTTGGCCTCATTAGCCAAGGCCTGACCTGGTGGTGTGCCAGGCAGGCCCTCTTGCCATAGTCTCCTTCCTGTCTTTGTCCAGTGGCTTGTCCAGGAAGACCCTTCCCACGGGAGCCTGTCCCCAGTGCCCCCTTCAGTGGGTTCAGCAAACACTCAAGGAGCTCTGAGGAGGTGCTATGCAGAGAGCAGAAGCTGGGCTGGGGTGGGGGAGGGCTCTTTCTGGGGCATGAATGAAGCTCTTCTCAAGCTAGAAGTTGGCTGGCCCTTGGCAGCTAGCATGGTTAGTTCCTGCAGGCAGCACCTCCATGACTCCACACTCTCCCAGGCAAGCTGGGTGCTGGTGGCACAGGGCCTGGCACTGTCACCCAGTCCCCTCCCACCTCGAGCATCCTGAGACTGTGATTGCCGTGGTTTTCTGACTTCCTTTTTCTTTCTCTCACTGCCCTGCCCATGGCTGCCATGTGGCTGCCTTTAGTCAGCTGGAAACTAGGCCTTCTAGTGCTTTCCTTCTGTGTCTCCAGCAGAAGATGATGTAATTTATGGGGCCCGAGAGGAGAGGACACCTTGGCCCTCCATTAAAGCCTGGATTCTGCTTGCTTCCATTCCCACACCTGTCGGCTTCATCCCACTGCAGCTCTCATCCCTAAGGGGACAAGGGAATAAGATGAGGTAAATGAAGGAAGTGGTGTAGGTAAGACCTCTGGGGTAGGGACAGGTGTAGTCCCACTGGGAAGTGACGGGGCTGTGGGCAGGTGTACGGAATCCGCAGTCCCTGAGATTCTGCACCCACAGCCCCTCCCCAGCGCAGCTTTGGTCATGATGAGCTTAATGGCAGAGGCAGGGGTGTGTCCACCTGAGCTGGCCACACTCATTACCTCTGACACTCTATTTCCTGGGGGGGGGGGGGGGGAGGGCGGTGATGGCATCCATTCCTGCCAATTGGCAGAGCTGGGGTATCAGAAAGAACATTTCTGCTGTCTCCCCTGACCCCACATGGGCAGGTGTATGGGTCTGTGGCTGGGGGTGTGGCAAGGAAGAACAGAGAAGGTTTGGGAGGAGTTGAGATGTGGGGAAAATGGTGGGACTTTCAGTTCAGATCTCAGGTTTGGCCTTAAGCGTCTTTGATCCAGTCCTGCAGCTGCTGGCCAAACCTGACCCTGTGGAGAAGGTGGAGCAGCTCCAAGCCAGGCAGATAAGAGGGGTGGGAGATAAGCAAGGGAGAGCAGGGTTTACTGACCTCCGTCCCCACCTGACGCACAGTCCTGAGCACTCTGTCCTGCTGAGGCAAGAGGCTTCTTGGGGGTGTTGGAGGCCCCGGGGGGGGGGGGGGAGAAAAAAAGGTGGCTGTGTCTGTGTGAGTTTTGCAATAAAGCCTTCATGTTGCTCCAATACCTGTGTGTGGCCTCGAGAGGTGGGGCAGGTGGGAGGTTGGAATGTGGCTGTAGGCGGTCATTTCTCCTCTATGGGCCCAGGGAAGGTGGCGTGCTGGGCAGGTTTCTTCTGGCTTCCCAGGAGGAGAGGTGGAGCTGCTTCAGTTGAAACCTGGGCCTAGGGCAGCAGCCTTCACTGGGGAGCCCTGGGGCCGTTAGGGGAAGGCTAGGCTCTGGGAGAAGGAGCCCAGGATTTTCTGTTTTGACTTCCCTAGGCCGAGCTCCTGCACTGAACAGAGGAGGAGGCCCGTTGGGACAGGTGCATGGAGTGAGGGGACAGCAGTCCCTGGGCCACTGCCCGCGCTGGCCACCCGGCCTCCCCCGCCAGGCGTGAGTCAGATCGAAAGCAGAAGCTGCCAGACACCGCGGAGAGTGAAGCGAGGCAGAACCAACTGTGCTATTTTGGAAGCCGGTTAATTCCCCCTCGCGCCGCCCCGCCTCCCTCTCTCTCTGGGCTCTCATCCTCCTCCTAGCACTTTGGCCTCCTCAGGGAGCAGTTAGGACAGGGCTGGAGTTCCCTGATGTGTGTCTCTGTGTGTAGGGGGTTGATGGGAGAGGGCAGAAAGCCGGTTACCAGCTCTTCCCTTTGCCAATCCCCCACCCCTCCAATTCTGGTGGGGAGAGGGGAGGAGCTGGCGTCTCCCAGCGCCCGTGGGTGTTGGAGGCCAGAGCGCCCCCTCTCGGCGGCGCCCGTGGGTAGGGCGGCCCCGGTGAGCGGCCAGGTCACCGGCTCTCAACCCTGCCCTGTGGCCCTGGCGCCGCCCTCCCCGCCTGTCTTTCGCCACCATCGGGGCCAGCTGTCAGCTGCCTCTCCCAGGGTCGTGAGTGACGAGCACCTCAGGTGGGAGCCTCTCCCGGCAGTGAACCTCAGCGGCCTGGGAGGGATTTCCGGGCCCTGGGGAGAGATATTTTGGGGCTGTGGGCCTTTGCAGAACCTGTGAAATCGCTCACCCCGCAGTAGACCTGACCAATCCCCTTAAGCCATCAGCTCACTCATTGGACATCCTAGGCCTGCTTGGAGTTCTGTTCCTCCCGTCCACCCTTTTGGGTTTCTTTGGAGCCCAGGCGAGCCTGGGGGTCCCTGCCGTCCAGCCTGCAGTGGAGAAAGAGGTCAGTGGGGTGTGTGTCGTCTGAGCTGAAGAGGAGGGCATGGGGGTGGAGAGGATTCCTTGTCCTTTTTGGAACCGTGGGCCAGGGGCACGATGGGCTTGGCCCTTGTAGTGAGCGCATGCAGGGGCGATGGGAAAACCTCTGCTTCATGTGGCTGCCTCCTGGGTGGGGTGCCTGGGGTCAGAGCTGTACAGTTCACCACCCCTAGCGCATGTGCAATGTTGCTCACCCAGGTTGGTGGGAGCGGGGGCGGGGGGATGGTCAGCAGGCAGGGGACCAAATGACATCTCGATCCTTACAGGTCTCAGGTGAGCAGGACTTGGGTTTCTGGCTGCTCAGATGGAATTAGGGGTTCAGGCAGGTGGGGGAGGGGCAAGGAAGAGCAGGCTCCTAAGCCTGCTGCAGGGTGCTCCCGCACCCCCAGTCTGGCTGCAGAACCCACAGGCAGGCACATGCCAGGGGTACTGTGTCCTCAGGTGCTCTGCCAGCCCTATGGCGGGCAGCCCTATGGCGGGGTGTGTGTGTGTGTACAAGAATGGAAGTGTAGCTGTGTGTCTCACAGGGCCCGTCTGGGTTGGGTTTCCACTGGTAACCACATCAACTTCTCGGCTGTTTTCCCACAGACCATGACTATCTCCTGCAGAGCCCAAACACGCGGTGAGCCCACTGAGTGGGCACAGAGCTGGCTCACAGCCTTGTGTTCTGGCACCCGCTTGGGGTCCTGGGCTTGGGAGTCAGGGCTTTTGCCTCAAGTTCATTGTGGGACTCAGACATCCCTGCTTGTCCTTTAAAGTGTCTCTCTCTAGACTGCCCTGCACCTGTCTGCTATCTCCTCACCCACACCTCTCATCACCAGTTTTCGTACTTGGAACCCACCTGGCAAGGTCTTCAGGAGGACCAAGTCAAGTTTCTTTAAAGTGACCACAAATCTTGCAGGGTAACTTGCTAAGAGGTGCAGGTTGTTAGTTTCAGATTTATTTATTTGAAAGGGAGAGTGTGTGTATGTGTGAGAGAGAGAGAGAAGAGATCTATCTACTGGTTCATTCCCCAGATGGCAGTAAAGGCTAGGGCTGGACCAGGCTGAAGCCGGGAGCCAGGAGCTTCATCCAGATCTGTTACGTGGGTGCCCAAGCACTGGGGCCATCTTCTGCTCCCTTCCCAGACTCATTAGCAGGGTGCTGGATTTGATGTGAGGCAGTGCTGGGACATAGACTGGCATATATCATCATACAGCAGCTTAACCCACCGTATCACCACACTGGCCCCAAGGTGCTGATTCTGACTCAGTGATCTGGACAGGGGCCACAGAGGCTGCTTTTTCAACCAGCAGTTAAGGGGTATGATGCCCTCTCAAAGTCCCATCAGGTAGATGGGGGTTGTGCAGGCATGGATCTGACACTCTCAGACCACTCCCTCGGGGCCAGCACATTTCAGCTCCTTGCCAGCCTGCTTTACAATTGGGGAAACTGAGGCTGCATGCTCTAGTGGGTGGCAAAGGCAGATTGGAACTCTGGTCTGTGGGGTCCCAGGCATGTTTCTGGTCCTCTAAACCCAGCTGTTTTCTAGATGAAGGCATCAGGAAGCTGCATGGGTTGGCCCTGGGTAGAGGGGCAGCTTAAGGCAGCAGCATAGCTCTGGAGGAGGTAGTTCCAAAAGGGCTTGTATCCTGCTCCGGCCAGCTTGGCCAGGTCTCCCCGCTCCCCCTGGCCAGCTCAGTCAAGCCTCCCCACCTCCCCTTGGCTACCACCACATATACAAGCACTGGGCTTAAGATCCCCTCATTCCTTAGTCCTTTCTGCAAATGCTGAACTCACTGGGGTATCCACCAGTTCCTGAGTATCCAGGCAGTGGCTGGGTCTGGGGACCAGGTGCCCCTGCTCTCTGTCTTCCAGCTGTGCAGCTGTTGGCAGGTGTTTGGCCTCTCTGCCTCAGTTGCTCCTTTGTGAAATGGAGATGATCAGTGACTCCATCGATGGGTGAGGCTGCTTTGAAGAGTAAGTTGGTGATGGATCTGAATGGGCTGGACAAACTGCCTGGGGCATGGTGCATGCCCAGTGTGTGCAGTCCTTGACAGCTGTTGGGAGGTACCTCGAGACCATAGCCCACCCCTTGTTGAGCTTGTAGTGTCCCCTCCTTCCTGCTTATTTCCTCCTCCTCAGGAAGGCTGACAGTCAGACCCAAAGCCAAGTAGTTGTACTTGGCAGTAGATCAGATCCCACGGAGAGCAGAGGCCAAGTGGGCATGAAGGCTACAAGTGATGAAGGTAAAAAAGACCCCGGAACAGGGCCAGGCACCAGGCACAGGTGGGGATCAGAGTGCTCGGTAGGTACCAGGCCTGGGGCAGGGTGCCAGGCTGGGGTGGCTTGGGGGCCAGCACAGAAGTATGAATCAGCAGTCCAGACCTGCAGCAGGGTTTGAAGCAAGGCACTATGACAGAATGCCAGAAGGGGCTCCAGGCTGTGTGCTGCTCTGTGCACCTGTGTACCTGCCTCCTTTCTCACTGGGACAAGAAGCCTTCCTCACCCTGTGCAGGTGCAGAAGAGGCTGGGATGCAGGCTCCTCCTCCCGGGAAGATGAAAGGCAAAAGCTAGATCCTACCAGTAGCTAGTTTGTCTTCAGCGGACCTCTCTCAATTGTCCTTTCCTGGCCCCGCAGACTGAGCTCCCAAGGACTGGAGCACGCACATGCATCTGTACCAGCAGGGCTCTCAGCACATAAGTGTATATGGAGGAGTTAGAAAACCTTCAAGATGTGCCATGCAGCCCTGCATGTGAGCCGCCATGGACCCAACACCCAGCGAAGGGCAAGAGAGCTGCTGGGAGCAGGTGTGGCGTGATCAGGCTCTTGTGCTGAGCCCGTGGGGCTATGGTACCCCTGCAGGAGGACTTACTGCAGTCTAAGTTATTGGACCCTCCCCCCACACACGATCTCTGGTGACACCAGGCTGCCTTGTCCTCCCTGGGGAGGGCTTTAGGGATAAGTGGACTGACTGCCACTCAGGACAACTGGGGTGTGCTTCCGCTCCCCTGCTGGGAGCAGGCGCACTGTGAGGCTCTGTGCAGGAGCTCTGAGTGCACTGGCTCCCTGATCCTCCCTGTACCACCCGCATGCACAGCACGCTGGTCCCATGCCAGGGATCTGATCCATTTTATCACATTTCTGTCTGGTAGGCCTGATCTAACTGTCCCCTGGGCCCTCTTGTGGCCCATGTGCACCGCCTCACTGAAACCCAGATATACAAGAGTTGTTCCTGAAGCTTGTGGTTGTGGATATCTTGGTGGAGGCTAAACGACCTATGCAAGGAGCCTGCTGACACCCCGGAGGTGTCAGGGAGTGCTGAGGACTGCACAGGCTTCACGAACAAGGGCATGGGGTGGGAGTGAATAGGGCTGGGAGGGTAGAGAACATTATCCCATCTGCATGGGGGCAGAGGTGGCTTTCCTTGAAGGGCCCTGACTTTCTCAGTTTTGCCAAAGCTGCAGGTCATGCACCTGAGTGCTTAGGCCAAGTCCCTGCTTCCACGTGTTCTTGCAGTGTGACCCTTTTAAGTCTTGGTTTCCCCATCTGCTGGTGTTGCTGTTTTCCTGGGTGCTGCCCGCGGAGGCTGGGTTAGGGAAGATGCCTGGTGTGCAGTGGGACTAGTGGGTGTTTGCTGCACACAAGAAGCCATGCTGAGTCAGAATATGTTGCAGCACTGGACAGGCAGGCCCTGGGGGCCCTGCGTATCTGTGTTCTGAATCTGGTAGGTACAATGGGATGGGGGCTCTGAGAGAAGATAGGTGGCGTCTCTGGATGCTTCCTGGTTGCTAGGAGACCGGGAGCTGATGAAGAAACAATTAGGGAAAAAGAGTGGACACAGGCAGGGTGCCTAGTGGGTGGAGTGGCCATGGTGAAGTGTAAGGGGAAAGAGGAGGGGGATTTCACATTCTTGCCCTGGTACAGCCGAGGAGTGAGGTGGCTGCCTTCTGGGATGTGTGTATGTGTACACAAGCGTGCTCGCATGTGCTCTTGCACGTGTGTGAGACACACACACAGAAGCAGAGACATGCGCGGAGGCTGGGCTGTGTCTGCATGTCCCTGCGCTAGGCTGCCTCAGGGACGTTCTGGTTTCTCTTCATGCTGCTCTCAGTTCTGCATGCCCTTCTCCTCATCCTGCCACTCCCAGGGCCAGTCCTCCTGGAGCAAACCCATGCCAGGGTTCAGCCTGTCCCGTGGGAAGCACAGGGTGCCTCTGCTGGCTTGGGGCTGCCTTTGAAGCGGCTCTGCGTGCTGCCCTGGGCCAGTAGGCCGCCGGCTGGGAGGCGCCGCAACCGCCCTTTCCTGTGGGATGTGAGCCTGGACTTGGCCACTGGGCCTGGGATGTGGGAACTGGACGTTGCTCCACTGGCCAGGAGCTGGGGGCAGGTGTCCTCTCTTCCTCCCTCTTTTCCTCTCCCTCTCCCTCCCACTCAGAGACTTCAAAGCAAGCCCCTGAGTCTCTCCCCTGCAGCCCCCTGCAGGGGCCCTTTGCGGTGTTTCTGGGAGAGGTGTGAACTCTGGGAAGCCAGCTCTGGGTTTGAGTCTTGCCCTGGTGCCACGCAGGTACCTTGTGCCGGTGCCTTGGTGGAACCTTGGCTTCCTCGTGGGAGTCCCTGGTTCCTTTCCAATCCACTTTCAACACATACAGAGGGTCTGGCCTGTGCTGGGGTCATGCGATCCCACTAGACATCAGTTATGTCACATGACAGATGCAGATGGCCACACCCTCCCTGCGGGGCAGGGTCCCGGGCTCTTGCCTTTGAAGTCGGCTATGATGACACACAGGCGTACACCTGTGCACATTCACTGGGCCTCACACCTCAAAGCTATGAGGTTTTCTGGAATAATTAACATCCCTGCACGGAGTGAGGAGAGCAGAGCAGTGAATTAAACATGTTCAAAGCAGGTGCTTCTGACCTTACATCCGTTTCTGGGACCCAGGGCTTTCCAGTCAAACAGCACACACTTCCTGAAGCGTGGGG